CCACCCTTACCAAGTGCAAAATTACTTGTTCATCTTCATCCATCTTCATCCAATAAATTGTTTTCGATTTTTTGTTAAATTTTGATAAACTCCTTCACCTTTGATCGTATGTCTAGAAACTTAGTCTTCACTTCTTCAGTAGTTCGATACTCTTGAGCATATAACTCAAAGTGAAACATATTTTTCAATCGGACTCATCGTGATCTATACATAAAATGTGGCAGACCGATGACAACCATATCATCCTCAATGGTTATCCAAGCCTAAAAGAGTGCAATCTCTTCTTGTGTAGTCCATGGTTCGGGGTGATTAACTGTCATTTTGAAGTTGTAAAAGTTCTTGAATTCCAATCTCTTATTTATAGTGGTTCATTCTGGATTATATGTTATTCCTGACTAACATTCCTGATTGACATTTCGGACATCAGATCAATAATTATGTCAAGTCAAATTCATCATTTATGTTAAAGATTTATGACTTTTCGGACTCACGGACACACAATCACGAGCATAGATGTCAGATACATATTTTGGACAAACCGTTCCGGACACTTTCCAGACACACTATATTTTCTTACAACCTCACACTATTAACATGGAGGTACCATACATCATAAACGTAGTACATTACAAAAGTAAAAAGTTGAGAATAAGTTCATCTGAGTTTGGTGTTAGAGATTGCAAAGAAGAAAATTGTTATGTTTATTAGGATATTAACTTGTTTACAGAAGGCCTTGATTTCCCAATCCTAGATAAAATGTCGGATGACCTTTTCGAAGCTACAATGGCCGCAAAGAAGCCAACGAAAGGGAATTTGAAATAAGTCGGACACTCAATCAATAGGTAGTCGATCTAGCAGAATAGGTAAATGAAATAAGAAAAATGGGTTGCTAAAACTATGAAAAAAAAGTCAAAGAATCTGAGAAGTGGATCCGAGATGCAAATACAAAAATTGATAAGGTTCGGAAAAAATGGAACCGTCTAATAGATGTTGTAAGAACTATAAAATATTTTATTGACCATGAAAAAAAAATATGTATCCATTATAATTTCCTAATTTTTAGAAACCAATATAAGTATGTAATAGCTTTTGTAACGACCGTTTAACTCATGTTAGTAAAATGCATTGTCATTTTAGATAACTCTAACATTTCGCTCTTTCAAAAAAAACGATTCTACCATTTCTTTTATATAATTAAGTTTGAAATGATATTACAATAGTTAAAATTATAATATATTTCCATGATACCTGGAAAATAGCATCCGGTGTAAACTAGCAGTATCTACATTATTTTCAAACAATTTCCTGTAGATCTCAATTAGGTTGAATCCATTATTAGTTATTTTCACTCGTTCTTCTATTGTTGCACTTATCATACATGCGTCTTTGATGATATGCATTGTGTTCACAAAGTGTCGTATGTCTTCAGACATCGTAATGAGACATCGTAAGGATGAACATTTACATATTATACAATTCTAGTTTTCTATGCTCCTCGACCGCAAAAAGCAATAATAGGATTTCTAGTATTACTATTTGTTGTTTAGCACACTTATACTTACGAATCATTTCGAATACAGTTGTATCAATAACACGTCATTGCTCATCTTCAAAACAGATTATTTCATATTCCGTTGGCAACGCATCATCATAAATCGAATCACTGGATGTTTAAGACTAAAATTATATATATATATATATATATATATATATATATATATATATATATATATATATATATATATATATATATATATATATATATATATATATATATATTGAAAACAAACTTGCATAAACTTATCAAAAATTAAAACCAAGTTGTTGAAACTTATCCATATCAAAAATTATAAATTCACAACTAGTCTATAATAGCAAGTTTGTCTAAACTTGTTCCGGTCTCATCTTTCTATGTTCTATTTATTTTCTATTTGAGCTTTAATATAATTTTATGTTTTTTTTTCTTAATTTTATAGGTGCCTTTGGATTTCTGTGATTTATTTTTTATTTTTCTTTTGTAACTCGGCATCATGGCTTTTTATCAGCAAAACAAAATTCCAACAAAATTCTAATATATTACCCTAAAAATAAAATAAAATATTTATTACAAATTTTTTAAATTCAGTTTTACCTTTATCGGACGCAATTCTGAAAGCTCTTGTAAATGGAATACAGTTTCTTCGTCCGTAAAACCCACTTTTTATAATAGCATTCATGTAAATTCGTCTTTGGACTAATACGGAATATTTAACAATATCAAGAAAAAAAATATAAAAATTGAATCTTTATTCCGAACTGTCATTTCGAAATATCATTTCGGAATTGATCTTCGTATTCTGGAGTAAGTTTATCGTAGAATCCCTTGTAAAATCTAATGTAGACTTATTTCCTAACTAAAAAATAATGCTTCACACATTTTGAGATACTTATATGGGTTATATGTCTAAAACAAAATAAGAATAAATAAATAAATAAATAAATACAAAAATATATATTCCAGACTTGTTATTCGTATTCTGAACAAGATATACTACATATTTCATAATACAAATAATTGTTTTTAAACCAAAATGCAAGTAATTTAAAGAGTAAAGTTGACATGATTTAATGAATCCATGGTAAAACCTCTTTTCGAAATCCGGGATCACCAACTTCGAAATTTCAAAATTCGGAATGCTTATTTCAGAATTTTTTGTTGTGGGACCTATATATATATATATATATATATATATATATATATATATATATATATATATATATATATATATATATATAACATTGACCTGCATTAATAGGTTTGACCTGTTTTTGTCTTATCCGGAATCGTTACTCTGGACACAATGGTTACTTTTCAAAAAAAAAAAAATATTTTGGTAACTATAAACTAAAACGTGGTTAGATTACTCAATTTCCCAATAAATAAATGAGATAATAAAATATTTTAGATAGATGAAATTATTAGTTAATTTTTTTAAATGTTAACCGTTGAAGATGTTAAATTAATGGAATGATGAGTAGTGTCATTAGATTATCCGGAATAAAAGGAATGAGAGTTATGGTTTGGGGAATTGTGTCGTGAACATCACCCCAAAGGTAGCGTGGTGAAGGTTAGCCATGGTTTCAACCATCACATATAACCTCTCTCTCTCTCTCTCTCTCCCTCCTACAAAAATAAATTTCAACTCCAACTCACACTAAAAACTCTCTCTCTCTCTCTCTCTCTCTCTCTCTCTCTCTCTCTCTCTCTCTCTCTCTCTCTCTCTCTCTCTCTCTCTCTCTCCTACAAAAATAAATTTCAACTCCAACTCACACTAAAAACAAATTTTAATAATATAACTATAAAGTATTATTTTCTATAACATTGTATGATTTGATTTAAATAAATTTTATCATAATATATAGTTTATTATTAATGATAATATTAAATAACTAAATAATTGATTTTACAATATAAATAAGATGAAAATTACATTTTAAAATTAAATTGAAAATATTATAAAACTATATAAAAAAGCATTACAATTTTTTCAACATTTGAATAACTATTCTAATAAAAGAATAGTTTTAATCTCATATTGATAAGTGTCATGCAATTAAAACCTTCATTAATGTTATATATCATTTATCATGTCACTTATCAACCTATTAATTAATTATTTTAAATTTCAAGTTTTAAATTTCTCACTATAATTTTATTAAATTAATAATTGATTCTTCATTTTAAATTTCAAAATTTAAATTTTCTCCCTTTAATTATATTGAATTAATAACATTAGATTAAAAACTAAAATAAAATTAATATAAATTATAAAAGGATATAACTTCACGTATTTATTTAAATCAACGATTATAATTTTATATAACGAAAAAAATATCTCTTAAGTAATAATTTATTTAAAATAATTTATTAATAATTTTGATTTTTTAATACGAAAATTTAATTAATTTTATAACCGTGATTATCACGGGTTATAAACTAGTATAAAATAAATATAAACTAGTTGTGTGAGTTAATATACTCACACCATAAATGTTATAAATGTTCAAGTAATACATTTCAAAGTTTGTTGTGAACATCTTATCTTTGATGTTTTTATATATGTTGATTAAGAAATTCTTGAAATCATACATTAACATTAACCATCGTTTCAACCTTAACTGTCATTGCATGAGTATATTCAAAATGAGTAAAATAGGATAATAAGGAAAAGAACAAAAGAGTCTCAACAAGATGAAAAATGTTCAGGGATCTCAAAGACAAAGATTTCAATATCAAGGATCTCAAAGACAAAGATTTCAATATCAAGGATCTCAATATCAATTATCCCAAACCAACCAAATCAATATTAAGGATCCGAAGAAGATCACGAAGAAGAATATCAAGATCAAGACCAACGATCTCAAAGTTATAACCAATACTTTAACTACTTTGGAGGAATGAGGAATGATCTTCACAATATGTAGATTTGTATTTTATTTATGGTTTTTATTTACTTTCACTGTTATGTTTGTTAAGTTTGAATTTTAAATATATATTTAAGTTTGTTATCTAATGAAATCTTTTGTATTAACTATTTGATTGTGTTTAATAATAAAAACTATAAAATATATAAAATGTTTTTCTTCATATCATAAGATCACGTTGGTGTAGGACATACATAAGAAATACTTTAATATTTATGACTATTCCTAGAAAAATCAACCTTTTTCGCATAGTTTTATAGTTTTCTAAAAATTAAATCAAATATGAATTGTCATAAATATTAAAGTATTCAACAATTTTTCTTTTAAGAGTTAGATTACCCGTATTTTTTGTTAAAGATAAAATCAAATACTATTCAAACACATGTTAGATAACTGAAATTACACTATTCAAATCAATAAACAAAAGCTACTTATGTTAAACTAAACTATTTGTTTGAATTAAAATGCTAAATACTTAGCTTATATATAAATTAAAAAAGATAATATAGTAGCACACAACAGAGTATTGTGCTTGATTAGACAGAAGCTGAAAACAGAGTATCCCAAATCTCAGTGAAAACCTCAAAGATCACCCTGTGATGTTCTTCCGAATTCAACGAAATAAAGCATTCCAACAAATCTTCAAGATCTTCTGCTCCAAATATCTGTTTCTCCACAATCATTTCCACCATTGATACCCTGAAATCTTCATGTGGATTACTCGATTTCTTCACCACTGCAAAACTATCTTTCACCAACTTCCCACTCTTCTCCAATGGTGTTTCATCGGAAATCCTTTGACTCTTACACCCACAGCTGTTTCCGTCTCCGTCTCCGTCTCCGTCGCCACAGATTCTCTTTGATTTCTTCTTGGACTTCCGTTGTGCTCTGTATTTACGAAAAGAACCCGATGAGTCGGAAGAGAATGAACGGGATGAAAACAAAACGGTTTCGTCGTCACTTTCGTCTTCTTCATCACTCGTACGCCAACCGTAGTAGTAATTATGTGTTGTGGGCGAGAAATCTTCCACTTTTTTAGGTTTCCTGTAATGGGGTTTCTTTTTTGCAGGTTTCCGGCAGTCTGCGTATGCCGGAAATGAGGCGATTTGGTCGGTGATTTTGGGGTGGAAAAGATTGGTTTTTGGTTCATCATCGACATGACATTTGGTTTTACAGAAGGATTTAGGTTTGGGAGAGAAAAGATCGATGAGTTGCCGGTGATGTTGGTTTTCCGGAAAGAAAAAAGGTTGATCGGATACGTCGGAGGTGTGCTTCGACCGGCATGATTGGAACATTTTAGAGATTTTTAGCTTCAAGCGGTTCTCCATTGATAGAGAGCAAGAGAGATGAATGAGAGGTGAACTGGAAATATTTTTAAATATAAAAGGTGAAAAGGATCACATTTCAAAGAACTTAAGGTTTCACTTGATGGCTTATAAGGAAAGATATGGAGAAATAACCATATATATTTTATTTTTATTAATAAAGATCGTGGTATAATTTATTTATTTATGAGAATAATAATGTTTTTATATCTTTTACAATTAATATTTTTGTATTTGATTTTTTGAATAATAATTTTTTATTTTTAATTTATGATAACAAATATATTTATATATGTCCCTTATTATAATAACTTAATTAAAATTTAGAAAGAATATATTTTATTTTGTTAAATACTACTATTATTTATAAACAACACTTTTATTTATAAAATTATATATTATTCATAACAAATAATTATTCATAACAAATAATAAAAAACTTAAATTTAAATACATCATTATTATTATCAATCAGGATAAAATATATTGTTAGATTAAGAAAAAAATTCTCTAATTTATATTAGTAAGATTTTTTTTTAGGAAGGTAATAAGTTTTTTTCGACATATTTTTTTGACGAACAAAACAAATAAATCGTTGCATTAATAAAAGTAACACGATTCCTAAAAAAATTCCCGAAAAAACATTTCGATGTTTTATTTTGATGATATTTTTGTTGATATTCACTAAAATTGACATAAATTTTTTTTTCCCTTGATTTACTTAAAAATGAATAATGAAAATGTTTTTTTTTTTTTTTTTTTTTTTTTTTTTTTTTTTTGTAATCATATTACTTTTAAATCATCTAATGATTCATTTTGTTTGTTGCTAAGAAAATATGTATTTAATAAATTTGTGATATTCCTATAAAAAAGTTATTCTTATTTGATTTTGGTTATATATATATATATATATATATATATATATATATATATATATATATTCGGATAATCAAATACGATTTTTAAAAATTTTAAAAAATAAAATTCTTAAGATTTGTTTTATTCACGTATGCCTACTCGATAATAATATATGAATAATAAAAAAGAGAAAAACATATATGTTACTCATGTATGATTTAATCATTTAAAGATGTAAGTTGAGAATAAATGATATATAAGTTAACAAGTAATATTTAAACCTAATGAATTTTGTAGTTATAAACTTATTTTCTTTTCATCTTCGCCTTAGTATGATGAAGTAAAACCCAATTATCTTATTTGTTTATTTCTTTCAAAAACTTCATTTTAAAAAAACAAATTTTAATCCATTTTTAATCTGTTTTATATTTTTGATATATCAAAATGAAAGTATCTCAGGAGATAACACAAATATATTATCATTGGTTCATTTTGATTATATTTATGGTTCAAAATTAATGCTCAAAAAAATGGGAAAATAATCATTTTTAGATATTAGTTAAAATCAATTTTCCGATAGATTCAACAAAATGATTGCAAGCTACCAATATTAGGTGTTGACCTTCTTTTTTAAAGTTGAGGGTTCGAGTTTTGTCAAAGAAGATTGATTTAAGAGTACTTTAGGTTTAGATTAATTTGTTGTTTCAAAAAGAAAAATCCAATAAATTCAAGACATTATCATTTAATTTTATAAACTACATGATTAATCAGATTTATGGGTTTTGTGAAACCAAAAGTTCTAATACTAATTTATTTTGATGGGATAAATAGACTTGTAAATGTGGTGGGTTTGAAGCGAATCGACCTTAATCCAAACCCTTTTAACAAATTTCAAAATCCGATCCAAACCCGCTCCGTAACCCATAGAATTTTGAATAATCAAACTCATACCCTTATCCACCAAATCAACAGATATCCAAAACGCACCATAACTCGTAGGCTTTTTGAATAATCAAACGCATTTTACTTAAATCATAAAATCACATTTGTTAAATAATTCAAATGTTGATTTAGAAAACACATCATGTAGTCGAAGAGTTTCATATATGCAATTAAATCATTATTGTAGTTACTTCTGATTGGCTTTGACCATCGATTGCATTGATAGAGAATAGCAATTACAAACTTTCTTCCGGTTGATAAATGAATTTATTGATCTATAAATGAAATTGGTGATTACATGATGAAATATAAATGAAATGACATCACGATTCTTGGGAGAAGACTCGAACTATAGAAGTTGAGTCTTCGAATCCTATGTAAAAACAATTTAGTCTTTGGCCTTTTTTGTTTGTACTTTCTATTGGAATTTACAGTAAAACTTAGGTGGTATAAAATATAAACGTATAATTCTAAAATTTATATGGGATAAGTTATAAATGGAGTAGATCGATGATGATCCATACCCGACTTTTTTAATAAAAGGGTTAGCGGGTACGGATCGTTAACGGGTATAGGGATTAAAAACTATGTTCAAAACCCGTATAATTGTAAAGGGTAGATCGGATCAGAGTCAAAATCCGCTCCATTGCCAGACTTACGATAAAATATATAAAAAAAACAATGTAATCAATTTATCTTCCAATATATGTATTTTTGTCAAATATTTTATATTAATAATAACATTTCCTCTATAAAGTTTTATATAAAAGAGGGGTCTTTTGAGGAACGATTTTATTTTTCAGTTACCATTATAAAGAATAAATATAAAATCTGTTGATTTGGTCGATGATATTATTAAACTTTAATATTTTTTTAAAGTATTTTGGATATTTTGTAACAATTTAATATTTGTTGTAGATCATATACAAAATAAAACTTTGGAAAAATACACCAGCCTATGTGGACCAACCGAGCAACCCCTTTGTTGGCTATTTGTGTGGGTCCAGCATACGACATATATACATCTAATGTAACCACATATATTCCTTACATAATTTTGTAGTTTCACTCGCATATGAAAAGTAGTAGTCACTAAAGTTAAATTATCGATTTCAACGTTTAAAATAAACAAAATATTTTTTAAAATTTAAATGTTATATATATATATATATATATATATATATATATATATATATATATATATATATATATATATATATATATATATATATATATATATGTTATAATGTCGATGAACAACTATTGTACGGATGTGTCGACAATTCTATTCAATGAGAATTACTAAGAGAATATGTTGTTCGCTAATGGGAATACTTTCAACCTTACACACCTATCGTTATTTTCATGCATTCTCGTTAATTCTTATTCATTTTTGTTCTCACGCATCGTTTTTCACTTATTTTCATTCTTACAGAAGAATACGACTCAATATACATTCTAGTAGAATGAGAATATTAGAAAAGTATATAATAACATTATAGACGATTCAGTTATTTAGAATGCGTGATAATGACAATAGTTATGTAATATTGAGTGTATTCACATTACCAAATAACATATTTTCTTAGTCATTTTCACAGAATAACATTGTACACATGTTTGCACAATAGATGTCAATCAACATTTAACCTATATATATATATATATATATATATATATATATATATATATATATATATATATATATATATATATATATATATATATATATCGGGTCTGGTTCCAGTGAGTACTCTTTTTTCGGTGAGAATTCGTGAGTATACCTTAAAAAATTGAAAAAAAAAAAAAACAAAAGAAATACAAATCATAAAATCGAGTATAGTACTATATTTGAGAGAAAAAATTGGAAAAACAATTATGGATCATTAAAATTGAATCATAAATCATAAAAGTGATTAATAATTAAAATTTAATGATCCATAATTTTTTTTTCTAATTTTTTTTCTCTTAAATATAGTATCATGCTCGATTTTGATGATTTACATTAATTTTTTTTTTCAATTCTTTTAGGGTCTTTTCACGAGTTTTCACCAAAAAAAGAGTAATCACATGATCATATATATATATATATATATATATATATATATATATATATATATATATATATATATATATATATATATATATAAAGAAATTTCACTATTTCTAAAAATATATTATATATAATAATATTATATTTTAAAACGCCAAAACCAATAAGTTAATAGTACAACTAATAATCATTAAAATAATATTATTTATATACTATTCAAATCTAGATTTTTAAAATGTCTAAAGTATGATGCTTTAAGTATTAAATTATGATGCTTTAAGTATTATTGTTTATTCATAATCAATTTTGCATTCCTTGATTTTCTACTGAAAATGTGAAAAAAAAAACCATTCAAATCCCATGTTTCCGAAATGTAGTCCATGGATTGTGGTTTTCAAATTTTGAAATCCGTAGTTGGTGTATATCTTGACTTTTCCATATTTGACACTTCGAAAATTAATTGAAGTTTTGAATGTTTGACACATTTCATCCAATTTCGAATATTTTTGAAGCTTTGTATGTTTGTGGTGATTTTTCGTATGATCTTAGCACAAATGGTAGAATTGTCTAAAATAGTCCTTGATGTTTCGAATATTTGGCGGTTTGTACCTAAATTCGAAAAAGAACTGTTTTTGCTGAAAATTGAAGAAAGTGCATTTCAGGCCTCTGCAGTTTGTGCAAATTGATGCTTTCTACCAAACTTTGGAAAAGGGGGAGAGTTTTGCATATTTTGTTGTTTTGGGTGCAACGGGTCACTCAAAATTTTAAAATTGACAATTTCTACCCATTTTTTAGAAATTTTGCAAAAGCGATCCGTGAACGAAGCTAAAAATTGAATATTGTTTGGATTTTCCGGATTAAAGCACAAAGTTTATACCATATGTTAAGGGGGAGTTTTGACATGAAAAATTCCGAATAGAGCACGTTCTTTTTCCTTGAAGGTTTTATAATCAATTTTCGATTATAAAAAGGGGGAGAAGTTTATATGGAAATTCGAACTTGAATTTTTCATATTACGTGGATTTGAAGACCGAAGTGATCTTGAAGTTTTGAAGCTTACGAGATGATGCATTTGGAAGTTCGGAAATGATTTTTTTTCGAAATGGGTTTGGAACTA